AAGCCAGCAAGCGAAGGCCCCCCCAGTCCCGCCGCGTGGCGACGGCCCTCAGCAGACGGCGGCCGGTGTGGATTGGGCTCCGACTCTGGCGGCCCAGGCCCAGGCCCAGCGCAGACCCAGACCTTTCCCTCTTATCGCGAAGAACCGATTCTCCCTTCTTCCTCTGCGTGTCCTGTCTGAGATACACCTAGCTCAAAAACGGGAGCGCTAGGAGGGAACTGAGAATAAATGACAGCCAAGAAGGGAACCCTTACAATCTCTGAAGTTTCAGGTGCTGGAGGGTGACAGTAAGCAACGGTCTAGGGTGCAGGACACACCCTACTTCACTCCCCGCACTGAGGGATGGTCCCTTTTACTGACGCTGTTTAGGAACAAACATGATGTAAAGGCGGGAATAACAGCCCACGCGCTAACCCTTCCTAACGGGTCGCGCTGCTCCAGCCCCTTGTCAGGACCTTGCTCCGGAGACACGGTGCTGTGCTCACTGCGACAGCAGCCGCTGCCCATCACCCGGCCGGCCGCGGGCCGTGAACCCATCGGAGCAGACGTCGGGCGGCGTCCGCGGGCCCTCCCCGGCGGGCACAGGTGTAAACTTCAGTTTTGAAAACGACCTCAGGCTCAGTCTTTCTAGAGGGAGGTTCACTGTAACCACACACAGACTTTTCTCACGGGAGGGAGGACTGACTTCTCTCTGCAGCCTGTTCTTCCGTAGGCCACACACTCCAAAAATTAGACTCTTTGCCACTGAAATCTGATGACTAGCCAGAGTTCAACACAGAGCTGGAAAGACTATAATTAAGTGTAATTAGCCAAGATAAATTATAGAAGGAACCATGCAAATATATGAAAAAAAATACTCCCAGGATTCAATATGCAAGGATGCAATAAAGGAAAACCCACCTCTTTTACACATTCACAGAGAAATACTCGAGGTGCCGCTCCTGAACGTGCGTGGGCCAGGACAGGCTGCCTGGCCTCTGCGCAGGGACCCCAGCCTCTGTGGCCCGGCCGCCAGCCCCAGCCCTCCGCCCAGGCTCACTTTACACCTGGGAGCATCCCTCCTGGCTCCCCTGGCCTCCATCCCTCCCGGCTCCCCTGGCCTCCGTCCCTCCCGGCTCCCCTGGCCTCCGTTAGTCCCAAGGGTCCTTTGTGAGGCTCGCTCTTTGCCTTCTGCCCAGTTCCGACATCAAACACCACCTAGCCTGCCCTACACTGGGGTGAACCCTTTTTTCTCCTGACAGGGTTCAACCAGATCACACTCTGGCTCCGTCCACCTCTTCATTTATTCCACTCAAGCGGGGGGGGGGACTCCCTGCTGGGCGCTGTGGGGTGCGTGAGCTAGCCTCCAGGGTGCAGTTCCTCCGCTCCCTCTGGGCCATGAGTTCTTCCCTGACCCTCTGTCACTTGAGCCGACCCTCTGGGCCACACAGAGGCCTGTCCCCCGCAGTGTGACCACTTCACTCTGGAGATCCCTATCAGAGCAACCAGCCAACCTTCCCCCAACCTGGCCCTCACTAGGAATCAGGTGATATTTGAGCCTCAGCTGCCAAATCTCTTATTGTCTCTCTCATTGTTTTCAGAACCAGGGAAGGTCCTGGGAGTGTCATTACGGTGGTTTCATCCAAGACTCCAGCATCACTCATACATGCAGGTGTCCTGATGCTGACCAGGTGGCCTGCAGAACGGAAGGGAGCCTGTGCCTCCTCTCTCTGCCCAGTGCAGGGCCACAGCCTTTGTCCCCCGGGTCTTCACTGCAGGGCCCAGCGTATAGTAAAAGCAACTCAACGGTTTCAATCAGGAAGACGTCATCCAATTACATGAAATGAAAACCAAAACAAAGCTCAGGACTATGGCACTTGTGATTCCAGACACTGGTTGTGACTTTAACAATGCATTTTTGCTATAAAAATACATCCTCACCCAAGGATATGTTTTTATTGAATTTTTAGAGAGAGAGGAAGGGAGGGGGGGAGGGAGAGAGAGAGAGAGAGAGAGAGAGAGAGAGAGAGAGAGAGAAACACCCATGTGAGCGAGGAACATCGACTGCCTGCCCCCCTTATGCACCCTGACTGGGGACTGAACCTGCACCCTTTTGGTGTACGGGACGGTGCTCCAACCCTGAGCCTCCGTTCAGGGCTGTCAAGGCGTTTTGGGGTCACCTAGCAGCGGGGTTGGCATCAAGCTAACACGGCGGGTGACCTACAGCGGGAAGTAACTGCATGCCGAGCAAAAAGAATGAGTCAACGATACGGCGAGGCTGACTGGTTTCCTCATCCGAACCCACAGACCTCACGCCAGCCAAACCCGTCCTCACACTTACAGCACATGGAAGAGCGAATTACGCGGTGTATCCAAGTCTCACTCCCAGCGCAGGGGCGGCAATCCATCCTGAGCCAAGTTCTTACTTACCCACATCTTAAACCTAAATCATATGCCACCTTAGCCGCTGCTCACATTTACATGAAACAGTTCAGCATGAGCTACTCACGGGAAATGTTGCTGAAAAATAAGGATCCAGTCATCTGAGTATACATTTGCGTGCTTTCCCACGAGAAAACAAAAGTAAATTAAACGCAGAAAGATTACAGTGACGTCAGAATAAGCACAGTGCTGCAAAAGCTTTAGAGGCCAATTAATATGATAAGCTACTAACTACTGATTTCTCTCCAATTTGATTTTTGGCTGTCTTATTTGTTAACTTAAATACGCACTTATTGAGTGTTAACTGAACAACAATAGTAACAAACACACGCACAGACAAGCAGCAGGTAACCACACAGCAGCAATGCTGGGGACAACTGCTTCTCTAAAGCCCTTGCCAGTTTCCCACGAGGTCACACGCTCTCAGCTCCCATCAACGCGCCCGAGCAAACACTGTCAGACCCACCCCAGACAGGGGAAACGGAGGCTCAGAGAGGTTCGGTGACGTTCCTGGGGACCGCAGGGCTGGTCCAGACAGATGGCTGACGCCTGGCAGTGACGCATCCCTTTGGGGTTCAGGACACAGAGAGCACCTGGGAGGTAGGGTGTCAGGCTGCCCTCCTGTCCTATTTGACGAAGACCCAGTCACCAGCATGCGGACGGCACGATTGATGGACTGTCTTTATTTTACAGATGGAGAAAAACAAAAACAAGCCTACGAATATCTTTCCTATAAAAGCAAAACTAGGGAAGACTGCCTTAAATTACACAGCTCAATCATTTACTTTAGAAATTTAGAAAACGTTTCACTGTTACTCTGCAATGCACAAATCAGAATGACAGTGTTTCAATTAAAATTGAGGCTCCAAATTAAAAACAGCCTTGGGCATTTTTCAATGAAGCTTTTAATCTTCTATCAGATAAATGAGAATTTAATCACATAAATGAGTCTACCTCACTCATGCACCGAGATGTCAGAATTCATCTCACGGAACAAGCTGAGATATCAACATCCACAGCAGCCATGACGAGAAGGCTGCTGGGGAAGAACCTTCTGGAAGTTCATGCACCTGCGGTCACAGGGCTCTGAGGTCCCAGCACCACTCCGCAGTCCTCAGGGCACAGTGTGAACCTGAGTCTGCCCCGTGGGAAGCGCATTGCCACACGTGTCATGAAACCCAGGAGAGAGGAGCCGTGGTCCTGAGGTGAGAGGGAGGGGCTCTCCCCTCAGCCCGGCCCTCACGCCGACTCCTGCGCAGTCAGTCCATGGCGTGAAAGGCAGGTGGGCCCTGGAGGGAAAAAAAAAAAGGGTTTTTTATTAAAAAAGGTTTTGACAAGGCCCTTCGAGGAAAAGCAGGTACTTGGTGTGCACACCTGGGGGGGGGCCCCCTGGCCCCCAGCCTCCAAAAAAGAGAACGTGGCAAAAAAGGTGTTGAACATTAACAGACTCACCCCCCCCCACTTTTGCCTCCAAAGGCCTTAGAAACCGGAGGGGAGGGAAGAAAAGAAAAAAGAAAAAAAGCAGGTTTAGTCCCCCTCTTCTTTTTTCCAACCCATTA